AAACGAGGCTCTAACAAAACTATTTTGGAAATATCTCATAACTATATCAACTTACCAACTCACTTTTTATGGAAAGACTACTTAATTCCTTTTAAAGCACGCTTTATTAAAAATACATTCACCATAAAAGAACTCTATTCATGCTCTCTACTCAAAATCTTCAAAGATCTATCAGAAATCAAATGGGCTACATGTTTCAATATCTTAAATTCTATTGCCACAACCCTTCAAAATATACTTTCAGAACTAAAATTCTAATTGATAACCTTCCAACTATGGAAAACTTGAATATTCGATATTCTTATCTATACCCCACACCAAACTGTACTCGTTGTTCAAATTTAGAAAATGCACTGCATTTACTTTTATGTCCAAACAATAATATTAATCTTCAACAAGCTCTAATAGAGATAATTACTACCTCACTTTCTTCTCTTAAAATCACAACACACCACCAATTACAATTCTTAATATTCTTCTTTGATTTACGCTAAATAACTCTAATCTCAGCTATAATCTTTTATTATATTATATTATTGACATTTATCTCTCAACTGTTTACGATAATATTAAATCACGAACAGTCAAACAAACTAACTAATTTTTAACTATCCTATCTAACAATCTCCTAAACTGGTTTTGCAATGATATATGGTCTATATGTAATGTCTCTCAACACCAATGGGAACAAGTTCATAATATTATCTCAAAAACTAAATGAAACAAATACATTCTACCTAATATACCCACAACATCAAATACTACTCTATCAAATATATCTCAAACAGACACTTCTTCTTTTATAGAAAAATAGTTTCAACAAGGCTTTTCCTTAACTAACTGTATCTTTTAATGTCATGATATATACCTTAGGTTTCCTCTAACCTATTCTAGCAAACCAATTTATAGCAATAATTGATTGCATTATATAGAAAACTAGAGGGTATAATGTCATATTGGGTGCCTAATATAGTAGCACAAATGTAGTTCTGAAATCTTTAATGTAGAAATTTTTCTATTTTATTAAATAAAGTTTCAACTATAGCATTTACAAAACAAAAAAAAAAAAAAAAAAAAAAATATTTTGATAATTGCGTATTACTAGTTATTCATTTCAAATCCAGATTTTTCATACAATTTAAAAGACATGCAATTTTTCATTATATGAAATAAGAAAAAATTTTTTCTAATTTTTGAGCTTGAGTATACTTGTTATTATGATATTAAGATGCTCTTATTGACTTTGACTAATGTTCATACAATAATAAACATAGCATTGTTTTTTTATGTTAGAAGATTTTGATAATCTCTTAAGGCCTTATGCATATCCTTTTCAACTCAGATTTTCTTTCAATAACACAAACATAATTCATTAGCATTATCATCTATGCATTCTTTTATTATCATAAATGCTAACATAAATAATGTTAGAACATCTAATAGAATAAAAAATAGGTGCACTAATAGTACATAGTTATACTATAAAATCATTGACTATATTCCTAGTTTTGGTGCAATACGATAGCATCATGTGGCTACCTTATTTAGTAAATAGGCTTTATACTATGATAGTAGTACAAAAATCTTATGTTTGGTAAGCAGATGCTGTGGTTCTAATAGCAGTTTAAGAACTTTATATTAATAATTGAGTTCTGTAGCTGCAATAGTAATATAAGAATCTTATATTTGATAGTTAGATTCTTTAGCTACAATATCAGCATAAGAATTTCGTTTTGGTAATTAAACTTTATGGCTGTGATAATAGTGTAAGAATCTAAAAATGAGTAATAACACTTATATTGTTATATAATGCTAATTAACTAATTTTTGTTATAGCTATGTAGTTTCTCTTTTGTTGTACTTCTTTAAGGAACTTGCATATAATTAGTTATTTTAGAGCTTGTAATTGTTAAACAATTGATTATTTTAGAACTTGTAATTGTTCAAAGAACTGATTCTGGAGGGAAGCTACATTCACCTAATAAGTGTAAGTCCCCTTATATGAAGATATAATTATTTTAATATATATAATATAGTGCTTGTAACTGATAGTAAACAGAATCTCCATATGTTTTTCTATTACTGTATTTGAATAAAGTCATCTGATTAAGCAATAATAAATAAAATAAATATAAATAATTAATTACCTGTTTAATACAAATTTCTACATTAAGAACTAATTGTACACAATCATATGCAGATGACCAGTGTGAACAAACAAAGCTTTTTAATCCACCTTTGTTAATCATAAAATGAGTTATTTCATTATGCAAAATTGCTTCAAATCAATGAGATGCATGAAAATATAATACAAAAGATTGGCATTGTTGTAAAACTCTTTTTCCAAATGAAGTTCTACAAACAATATCGTTACAAATTAATTGAATATAATATGCAACACATCTAACAGGTAAAATCGTTAGATATTTTTCTGCAATATATTGTTTAGCAAGTGTTATAGCAAAAGCGGCATCAGATACTATAACACCAAATTTATCAACACCAATATCTGTTAAAACCTTTCAATTTCATCAGCTGTAAAAATCGCAGTATGTGATTCATTAGAAAAGTCTTTAATAGAATGTACATATTGCTTTTTATCAAATGTAATAATAATAAAAGCAAAATAAGAATAATCATGCTTATTTGTCTATCCATCTAAGACTAATAATAAATTAATATTAATTTATTATATTTAAAAGATATAATTATTAGGGAACTCACACTTATTAGTTAAATATAGCCTTCTCAGAGTTAGTTATTTGACAATTACAAGTTTTAAAGTAATTATAATATAAACTTCATACGATTGATTATTTAGAGCTTGCAATTGTCAAATAATTAATTACTTTAAAACTTGTAATTGTTTAAATAACTAACTTTGAAAGAAGCTATATTTATCTAATAAGTATAAATCCTTTTAATATATTATAAATATTATCTAATGTAAGGTTACTTTTATATTGAAGTTCTTTTTCCATAGCTACTATAACTTGTGCTGTTTCAAAATTAAGCCAATCATTACTTAAACTTTTTCGGTCAGGTGGTTTGTATGAAATACATAAATTTTTGCAAAAATCTAAAAAAATAGATGTGCAACAATCCAAAAGGGGATTCCACAACATACAAAAAATTTAGTTAATGCTTTGTAACATAATTCTTCATGTCTAGAATCTATTTGATTTATAGTTTGAAATTTACTGTTAATTCGTGGTTGTATATCAGTGAGAATATCTATCACTGTTTTGGTTTTTTTTTGATTTGGTACAGGAAATTTTTGTAAAAGATCCTGTTTAATATTAAGTGGAACTTTTTTATAATTTAAAGCTAAATACGCATTCATATTCATATCAAATGTACGTAGATTTTGTTCATTACAATATAAACACTCCCAATCTTTATGACCATCAGCTTGCAAATTAATTTCTCTAAAATGATTATTCCAAAGCATATTTTTTGGTTGACCTTTTTTTTTCTGATTTCTACTACTATAAATATTATGATTATCATAAGTATCTTAAGTATCATAAGTATTATAAGTATTATAAGTATCATAAGTATCGTGAGTATCATGAATATCATGAGTATCATGAGTATCATGAGTATTATGAGTATCATGAGTATCATGAGTATCATGAGTATCGTGAGTATCATGAATATTATGAATATCATGAGTTTTATAAGGATCATGAATATTGTGAGTATTATAATTTGAATTAACAATTTCTGATATTAGATCATTAAGTTTGGAAGCTTCTATTATTTAATTGCTTAAACCTGCACAAGTAATTTAAATATAAAATAAAATAAAAAAGATCTATTATTATAAAATGCAAGTCATTGTAAGGATTTTTTTAAAATACTAATATATCTTACATTACAGATTAATAAATACATACTTATAGCCTGATAATATATAATTTAAAATTAAATTTCATAATAATATTTTTAATAAAGTGATTTAATTTGCATGTTTAATTTAGAGAAAGCTTTTGAAGATAGTAAAAAGTAAACATTTATATACAAAAAAAATTAAAGAACAATTATCAGAAAAGATTTTATCAAGAAATTAGGGAACTTTACTTATTACGTAAATATAGCTCCCCTCTAAGTCAGTCATTTGACAATTACAAGTTCTAAAGTAATCATAATATAAACTCTATACAATTGGTTATTATTATTTTAGAGCTTGCAATTGTCAAACGATTGATTACTTTAGAATTTGTAATTGTCAAATGACTGACTTTGGAGGGAGCTATATTTATGTAATAAGTAGAAGCTCACTTATCACTCTTTTCAAATTAATGAAACAATCAAATTTATGAATCTATTATAAAAACAATAGTAGTAAAAACAATAGTAATATAATGCAGAATTTATACATAGAATTTAACTATCTCACCAATTTAAAAAAAATGATAATGCATATGCACATATAAGGGTGGTGCTCATTTCACTGACAATCACTTCACCAACAACTTAGTTCACCGACAATTAATTCATCGACAAGTTCATTTT